GGTTACTCGTAATAGTAACGTAACATCCAGATTCAGAACAAAGTTTGCTATATACTAAATCTGGTTCCGAGATGAAAGTTTCGACGATATTGTCTTATCGATCACCATTTCGTGACGATACACGTAAAACAGGAAGGGAAATTTTATAACATCCGCTTCTAAAATAATCACGTTATTCCCATATTTCTAATTAAACTTCATAGTAGTCACAATTAAGTTTCGAAATAATTTGCGAGGTAAAATATTCCTGTTATCTTTTGAAGAAACGCGATTTACAGGGTCGTGTTAGGAATAAAAGTAGCTTAACTTGATTTTCAGAAAACGAGGTTGGTGGAAAAGTTGATAATCCACTTCGCTCTTCCTCGAAGAGTAAGTTTGATGTTTTCAAGATATACCTGCTGGAGATTTATGTTACGAAGGATTTTAGATGTAGTAGCTGATGTAGTAAGCATATTCAGTGATATCGTAGTTCAATAGTCAGACATCGACCGAGGTTCTATACGCGTTGTGCCAATTTAAAATCGACTGCTTTATCCTGAATGATTTTCGTTTTACAAAGCGAAGGAAAATTCAAAATTGGAACCACATTAATCAACATAATCTGAAATTATTTGAAATAATGTGTCGAAAGTGAAAAGAGGAAAGATATCGAGAAGAAAGACGTAAACCGCAATACATATCTGAACGTGTATAAAATATAAGAAATAATCGTACAAAATACTGCAATGTTGAAATAATACAGCAATTACGCAAAATTTGTTTTTATATTTGTTTTTTATTTCAACATTATAACAAAACTACCTAAATATGAATCATTCTGAATTGCGAAATTCAATTTTACAATTCACAAAAGTACATTTTATTGTTAGCCATACCTGTTCTAATTCCATCCATACCACAAATTCTTTCGCTATCTGTTTCATTGAAATCAAAATAGAATTTCTCTTTCATCCACGTTTCCAAATACCTTTCCACATACACGGGAGTATATAACATGTGTAAATCCAACGTGTATGTACGACCATTTACGCGTGTAGGAAAGCAATTTCGGAGTTGTCTGCTCAAACGAGATTTCAAGAACAGTAAGAGAGGGATATCATTTTCTAAGTCAACACTTAGAAGAGTAAGCGAATCGCGAATGAAACTTTACGTGATATCAATAGGAAGTCGATCTCGTTGGAAAACAATAAACCGTGGGTTTTGCTGCGTATTGCGAGAAAAAGAAGGAGGAACACACACGGAAACTGTCGGAAACTGTCATTAGGTACTAGATGACTGCAAAACACGCGAATTGTCTGTAGTACTTCTTAGAAACGTGTCTGTTCACTACGTCAGTCGGTTGTTCTATGAAAGCTATGGAATATGGATGCCACTGACAAGTATTGTGCGCGCTGTCCAAGCCCACTCATTGTCAGTGGATGACCAATGGGCACTTGCTTCGTGAATGAAGGTGCTACACTGACTACGAAGGTCTGCCGCTGTCAGAGAACGCGTGTATAGATGTTAGACACCAGACTTGGAAAAACCCTGGCCTTTTCGTTAAGGGTCAGGCTGGACCAATCCCTTCGGGAGACAGTTCACTTGGTCGAGTTTCTACAGATATAGATGACACTGACAATGAGTTTACAACGATTGTTTTATTGCAGTGTTCTTCGCCGAAGTTTCATTCGTATCCTTTCTATTTTCTCTGTTATTCTTATTGCTATTGTATTGGATACGGAGATTTCGGTGAAATGACTCTTGTTTTTTGAATAAACACTCTCACGAGGAATTTAACAATCGAAATAAAGAAGTAGCGAATGGTACTTGAAAAAGGTAGTGAACCGAAGGATGAAGAACGAGCTAAGCTTGGTTTGTCCCTGGTTGGGCGCAATATAAGGAATTGTCCAGGCCACACGTGTGCCATGGTTAGAGTGCACACTTGTGTTTTAGGTGGAGAGTCGGTTGGTTGAAATGATCAGTGGAACCTGTGGTACTTAGTTTAATAGATGGCTTAAGCTATCTGCCTCTTAGCGATCCATTATGCTTCTGGTTAAAGCTCTTCTTTGCTGAAGAATGTTTAAAGGGAAGTCTGGTGAACACATTTTGACCTGCTGAGTATGACACTGACATGTTGCTTGATATGTTTACAAAATAAGAATTTTTATGCGATTAAAGTGTACATTAATATCATAATATTCATGGTTTTCTCCATGGGAAATTATAATCTAATAAATTTACAAAGACAATGATAAAATAAAATATTTTGCGTTATTACTATTTTATTAATTAAAATTAATAAGTTATTTTATCAATTTCCCTGTTATTATAATTCTTTGAGAAGAAAAATTCCTTCTCGAACGAATTTGAAAATAAAATTATCTACCCTATTGTCCCCAAGTCGTTCCCATCCCATTCATCCGCCTTTCTTCGTTAAAAGTCTCATAATTTCAGTAAAAATAATAAGTATTTTTCCGTTCTATTTCTACGATAAACGTTCCTTTCTCTGTGCAAGTAAAGAAATTTGCAAGTACCACGAATGTCTAATTGAAAGCTTTTTCCAAACAAAATTCATTTCAACCCGTGAATATTTAAAATTCCATTAATTCAGGCTCTTGCTGGTTTTTACATATGAAAGTAATATTTCAAAGTAAACTTTGCAAACTTACGAAGTAGAATACTATACGATTTAATGAAAAATTACTTAATCTCATTACGAATCGTAATAATTATTAATACTAATTTATTAATACTACACAATTATTCTATTATATCTATCAAAATTACTATGCCTTCTAAGTTGCATTTATTAGATAACTGCTCATGTTGAAATTTAAGTATGTTAAATGGTTTACCTATTTCTCTGAATTTTAGATCAAAAATTTCACTTCAATTACTAAAATAATCGCTAAAAAAAATTCAGTGCTTTTATTATATCGAGTAACCGAAATTACCAAAAACTCAGTATAAAAACTCTTTCTACAGTATTTATTGCAACTGAATGCGTAACATTAAAAAATGAGAACGAGGAACCAATTGGCAGACATAATTTCACCCAAATGGATATGATTTCTATACAATTTCTGCGTACACTCTGCCACGAGATGTGTCACGGGGTATATTTTAAAATAATGTCACGGAAACAAATTTCGTTCAAGCTCGAGAATAATAATCTGTAATTGAGCTTTTCGAAGCAATAAGCAGGGAGGCAAATTGAAAAACCATTATGAATTTATATAATTCGCTTTTCTATTCTTTTATTGCTTTCATTGAAATCCTACTGTTTATAGGGAAAGGGATTAAACACGTTGAAGAGATTACGAATACTAATTTAATCTCACATATATTTCACAAGATTTAAAAATTACTACGAAATAAATTAAAAGAGGATTTACTTGATTTTATTACTTGGATTTTAAAATCTCAAATACGATAATTCTAATTTATCGCGTTAAAGCAGAAAGCATGTTTGTTAGTTAAGATTGAAGAGAGCTTTATGCTATCAAGCTCAAGAGCATTGGAACACATCCATCAACTCGGATTCGTATCTTAAAATATGAAAGAGGACTACTGAAAGCGAAATGAATTTGATCCTATTACAACCTTTTCTTTACACTTCATTTGTCACCTCATTTCAAATCGATATTAAATTTTTGTCAACCTTGTCAAAAGTTATATGTATTAAAAAAAATTATGGAAAATACTCCAATTTATCATATGATAATTTCTATAATGAAATTTAAAATTAAATTTAGAAAACTGAATATAAATGAGGAATTATAAAAATGACATTTGTTACCTGTGTTTGAATAAAAATTGAATAAATAAATACCAAGTTCAATGTAAACCATTGAGCGCTCTTATTATCTGTTATGCCACTCTGAATATAAGAAATTAAACATTTTTAATTATTAATTTTGAAAAATTACATCAATGTCGGATCTTTAATTAAGAATTTTTTAATTCAAAATTTAGAATTTTCGATACAAAAATGTTTAGTTCATTAAATATTCCCTTATCTATTGCAGTTTTATTATTTTTTCAGTAAATTTTATATTGTTAAATATACATCGATTTTATCTCAGGATATTTTTAGAAACTGAGAACTAAAGGAAGCACCTCAACTGCAACCATGGGAATTCCTATCTATTGGACAGGAAACTGTGAAATGTAATACTTTTGGCATCAAAGAACACAGTACCGAAGTCTTCTAATCTGAACCATTCGAGTGGATACTTACTTCTTATTTTTCTTATCTCAACCACTAATAGTTCTGGAATTTCATTCCTTCTCTTTATTTGCGGGCAGTAGCCAATAACTTTCCTATCACAATTTTATACCTATCATTGAACAAAATTTATTATGTACTTTTTACTGGTAAATTGAAATATAACATTAAAAATAAAAAATTTAGCATTTAATAGGAAAGTAAAAATCTATAATTCAATAAAAGATTAGAAGTTTATCTTTATTAATAAATAAATATTAACTCTTTGCACTCGAGAGGTGACCCTCAGTCACCATTTCATAAAATTTTAAAGATCGATATTAATTAATATATCAAATTTAATGTAACGCAATAGCGTGCAAAGTATCGAAATCAAATAATTCTACAATTCTTTATTTACTGCTCAAAAAAGTATCGTCAGTTTTTTAATAGAGAATCTTTGATTTTCTACTCTTCTCTAGCCAAAATATCGTCGAGTGCAAGGGGTTAAACATCTGTAATTTAATTTCTGTAATTAAAAATTTCATTTGAAACGAATACACCTACATCTCTAGCAATCAAAAGCTCGAACCTCTCGCAATCTACTATACCATAATCCTCAAAATCAAGATTTGCGATATCTATGACAATGTGAATTATTGACATCGAGAAAACATGACTTACACTCGGAATTCTCAATTTTAGTAATCGTCATAAGCGATCGTTTAACGAAACGAAGCAAGACATGAACAAATATTGAAAGAAAATTCAATACATCAAAGTACTTATCTGTATCATGATAAAGTTTACTTACCAGATTCAACAAGTAGACATTAGTTACGGTTCTCATTCTCTTGTTACGCGCCAGAGTAATCAATACCAACGAGTTCCCGATAACGGAAAGCAGGAATATAGTTCCATATAGAGGTACAATTAAACTTTCCAGTAGGTTGGTTTGTGTAACTGTAGGTAGAGTCATGTTCACAACGATGGGTAGCATTGTTGATAGTTGAGGTGTGTTACTGACAAATGACTGATCTATGTCAGAATTGCCGAAATAATCGCTTATTGTTGCGTTATCGGACATATTGTAATCCAGAAACGACATCCTGATCGCTTTCAGATTTCCAAATTTCGGCCTTCAACCCATCTATCGATATTAAAGTGCTGGAAAATTTAATTAATCGTTCTTCCAAATTGCGTCGAGGCTATTTTCAGTCACTTTCTTCTTCCATGTACACGCTACCGAATTGGTTTCGTTCATTTTCGCTTGATCGTGTTTGGGAACGAGTTCGTTCGCCGATTTTTCTAATTTTGATTTGGCAAATATCCTGGAAGATTTGCTCGACATTTCTGAAAAATAAAGAGTGATATTGTTAAGGTCAATATTAAAAATATAACACTGTGTTAAATAATAATCGCGATGATAATAAACGAGATAACTATATTTGAATATTTGAGTTTTATAAAGGCTCTTGCAAAGGATTCATTGAAAAATTCGAAATTATAAAATAAGGGTCGTTTTATAAAAAATAGATCACGAGCAAAGAATATTTGATTAATTTTTACGAAGGAATCCAAGACTGAGGAAATCATTGTGTATTAAGAAATTCGAATTAACAAAATAAAGGCTTTCTATTAAAGAATAAATGATTACGAGTGAAGAACGTTTAAAAACAAGGATTTTTAATTAAAAAATAAAACATTGCGAAACAAGAACGTTTTGTAAATTCTCGAAGATGGAGACAGTGTTCTCGTGGTATAATGATTACAGTATCCTCGTTAAAATTTCATCAACCTCGCAGCCATTCCCTTTCTCCGATCTATCCTCTCCAAGTCATGACTGCAAAGTAATCCTTCCAATAAATAATAACCAAATCCTTTTAAAGGAAATAATAAATTCCTATGAAGCTTTCCTGGCTACCACGAGAAACCATAATTGCTGCAATCAACGGTAATTTGAATAAGAATCACGAGCAGAAGACATTTCTTCACTTTGTCTGCTTATTTGCATAAATTTCGCTACCTCGTTCGACGCTAAATTATGCAAATGTATGGATATTTATTCAAATAAAGACATTCAGTGCTCCTCGATAAAAGGATCTTCCTAGGAGAATGAGATGGAAAATCACTCGTTATCATAGAGAACAGTAACATTATCGTTTTCATCTGTCACTAAAAATTATTAAGGAATATGCTATAATTCGCGATCTTTAATACGAGGGAAAGATCATATGTGAGAAAACACAGGGTGAGAAGCTACCTAAGTCACGAGAAGCGACTTTCCTACTTGCGTCTGTCACAGCGATGACTACAGTGTGGAAATATACGGTTCGTTGCATAACATCGTTTGTGAATTACGAGTTTCAACGGTCGGATGTAGATGGTAACATCAATTTTGCTGAAAATATTCTGCGTCAAATTCGGAACTGCTACGGTCCTGTAATTCATTCCAAATTTATAGCTGCGATGGCCACTGCGACGCTGACACGTGAGCTATGTCAGTATTAGTTGGAAGCAATGTCTGGATAAATGTTTATAATTAAACGGTATACTGCAAACGTGGTTATATTTGCTTGCTATTTTCCAACGAATTCGATCAGTTGCAGGAGTTAGTTTAACACATTTGAGGATCCAGTTCTAAAGGAAATAAATGATCTGACTCGTCGGTTCATGGTAGCTTTAGTACAGTGTGAGCTGGTTTTATTTCTTTTGTGTAAATTTGGTATTTTAGTTCCTGAGACAGTAAATGATCTAGCTTCTCGTTTCGTGAAATATTTAGTATAATGTGAGTTGATTTCATATTGTTTATATTAATTTCATATTTTAATTTTTCAGATAAATGAATGATCTGACCTAATATTTTCAAGATTTAATAGAACATGAGTTGTTTTCACAGATTTTGTATCAATTATCAATTATGGGAGTAAGTTTTCATTTGAATATTTGTAGTATACGTATTGATTGAATTTATTTTCACTGTGTATTATGATTAGGTTAATAGTAGTTCACGAGAAATTATTTTATTATACTGACATCGTGTTATACGTAATGCTAATACAGAGTGGACCACCTAACATGAGCATCTAGATAATTTTTATTACTATTTGATTAATTAGAATTTTCTTGGTACCAATAAATATATATTTCGAACATTTTTTAAACTGATAACATTCGATACTTTTTCTGTCTCTCTTTAGACAAGGTTTGAAAGAGTTATCTTCAATTTTCTTACTTAAAACACCATGTTTTCCAAGAAGATTACAAAAAGACGAAATCGCTTTCATTTCTTTCAAATTTAACTGAAGGATACAGCAATAAAAATGTTCAGCAGAAAAGAACATAATCTTCTTACGCGTTTGATTATACAAAAGTGATCAGATATTTAAATATGGTAAAATAGGAAAGAGTAAGAAATTTAATCAACAGATAATTAAATACAAATATAAATGACCGATGTCGAAATTTTGTCTCTACAAATTTTTTTAGAGTCAAATAAAAGTTCGTTAAGCTATAACTAAACGATACTTACTCGAATGTCAATTTGCCGCATAACGCGCTTCATTAAATTGAACACCTAGTTCACCTGTGTCAATGAACTTTTATAGACAACGGAGAAATTAATTACCCCCTTTAACGAAAGTCCAGAATTCGTGCCAATTTTTTCACTCGCTAGTAAAGCTCATTTGAACGCTTTATCGAGATTGTAAAACCAATTCAACGTCAAAGTGTAAATGTTTATCCTCCAAAGTAGCAAATTAAGTTATTTCAGAAAAATAAAATTAAATATTACCAAAAATTCTGGGATAAGTGAAGTTTCTCAAATATTTCAAATATTAAACAGAAATTGGTAAAATAAGTAAAAAATTCTATCAAAGGTACCAGTATATTTACGCTAATTCCAAAACCAGAAAATCACGAATCCATCGGTTTGACAGGTTTGGCAGTTCTATTGGTAACCGTGTCATTTTAGAATTAATTGTGGCTTTTGCTAAATACGATAATACAAGACCTTTCGATAGATTCTTCTTTCAACCCACTATACATTATCCCTCTCGAACTTGCAAACTTACCAAAGACACGACGTTTACTCCGCAATGAATGAGTAAACGGAGTTTGCGAAATACAATATAATGAGGACGACAAACAGCAAATGAGCTAGATGACTGGAATTTTAAAATCTCCACGTAAAGTTTTCCGTGTAATCAAGTTTCTTTTGAGATGGTTGATATCGAGGAGCCTAGAGAGAAGCATCTTGAATTCGTAAAATCAATTTTTACGTATAATTCCGCGTACAATTTTGCCTTATAGCATCGAGAATAATTCGATTCAAATTAAAAGAAGAGCTTTCCTGGTCCCCACGAAAGTTTGAGTAAGAATAAGACACGATTAAATCGCGAAATTATTAATTCACTCGTTGGTCGATCAGACGACTCGATCGAGAAATGTACATGCGTATCTACTATTTCAATATGGTGATTCCTTGATGTTAAAAACGGAAACTGTATTCTAGAGAGAAAATGATGAAAAGCTAAAAAAGCTAAAAAAAGCTAAACGAGGAAGCTAAAATAATTCTCGATATTGAAACATCCTTCTTTCTAAACGTATTCTTTTTTACTGTTTACTCTGCTGAGCAAAGAAAAAACAGAGATAATCATTGAGAATTAATTATGGAGGTTGAAATATACGTTGGAAGGGAAGAGGTCTTTCAATATTGCTTCGTGCAATGAAATACAATCGTAATTTTTAATCCATAATTTTCAAATTGTTTTAAAAGAAAATATTAAATGCTCGAAACTCGCATAGTTTCTATGATGAATTTATTTGCGAATAAACGCGAATATGCGAATATCGAACTGCGTTTATCGAAGGAAGTGGGTTTCATTTGTTATTCCATCTCTTGTTTATTTATCTATCTGACATGCCATTAGCGACCACTAATTGAAAAGAAACGTTAAAAGATATTTCCCTTCATTTAAACATCGAAAATGATGCAATCATCCATAAACTGAAAGTTTGTAAAAAAGTGAAGGCGGCCTTGTTTTATGACTTCCTCGCCATAACCTTCTTTAATGGTTCTCGGCCGTAGAATAATTCGAGGAATCAATTTATGCGAAAAGGATTTTATAGTTCCATGCAGAGGATGCGTGAACTTCGTAAAATAATAACCTCTCGATAATCTGAACTTGTTTCTTCTATGCACTGTACAATTGCAGAAATTAATTTACGCGAAGGAAAAACTTTTACAAATGCATCGATAAGCTTATGAAAACACTTGTTTACGGTATAACCGAGATGAGTAAATAGTAGCAAATTATCCACTACTATTTGTCTCTAATTGAACTTCGAATATAGCAATATCCTGACCCAGTTGTTAGACTCGACCCATATGCGATAAACATGTCGAGTTTGCGCACATTTCCACAACCGTGCTACGTATTTACAAACTTAACGCGAAAATGCAAAACCGTCGGATACATTCACAAGCTGCGTTAGCATAATTATCATGGATACGGGTTTATCTCTATTCTGATTCTTCCGAAACTCCATCGGGTTTGCCGTTGGCATATGATTGTTTCCACGAAGATGAGCACGCCATCGACGAAAAACACACTTGAGCTAATTTCGTGAAAGTTTGCGCAATTTTTGAAACACGAGTGATAAAACTTGCGAACGAAAGAGAAAAAGAAATCGAGTTTGATTAAACAATATTTCTAGAGAAGAAAATTTGAAAAGTACGAACGCCTCTGGTGAAATTCTGGTAACATAATTTCTAGGGATATTCCGCAAACATCAATCGAAACTTTCGTTCAAGAGTATATCTATTCCGAGGGTCGTGGGAGACATTACTTTCTCTTGAAATTATTCCAAACTCCGCGGTGAAAGCATTTAGAAAGTTATAAAGTGAATGTTTGAACTTTTTGAATTATTGGGACACCTGATGTAACGCTTTGATTTATTAATTATACACGAGAACAATTTGCGAATGCTTTGATATTATAATTTGTTAATATTATAATTTATAACACCACTGCACGTGTTTATTTAAATTCTTATGAATTATTCTAGTCGGGAATTTTATTAATTTTTAATGAGTTATTCGTATTAATATTTTGTTTACCTCTGATTAATTATAGGCCTATGTTCGGTGTTACAGTGAGGTATACGATAAGTCATTACTCTAAAAATTCTACAA